TATATATAGGGTGAGGTTTGTAGAAGGTGTCAACCTTATACTATTGAGGTAAGGTGCACCTCAAAACAATGCTGAAAATGTAGTTTTGGTGCTGCAAAAGCCTTGCGATGATATGAAAATCTATTGTTGCCCCCACGTATGAAATTTTAAGTTCTAGAAATTGTGACAATCAAGTAAATCTATAAACACTTGAAAACCTTGGAAATGGATGGTCCAGATAATGTGATGGAAGATGAACTATTTTTAGGACTAGAAATCACCTTTTTTCATGTCTATGAATCTCGAGGTCGAGATGATCGATTTGAGGGTTTTCCATAATAGCAACAACCTTCTCTATTGGGTTTTCTCGATGTACCTTATTCATATAGTATAAGGTTGAAATGAACAATATTTTTGCCCATAGGCTCAGTGCCGTCTGATTTTTTTGGACGACGTGGATTAAAGATCCTCACCGACTTAGCATGACCGTGGCGGTCCGTCACGGATATAGCAAGTCTGTGATGGGATTGTTTTCATGCAAAAAATATGGGGGGACTGCCATGGCTTCCATAGTTCCTCCGCGGTTTTTAGGCAAAGCAGTCACGGACATAGCATGTCCGTGATGGGGGCGAAACACTGTACAACTTCGCTTATAGGTGTTTTTAAGACTTTTCCTAGGACTGCCATGGCTTCCGTAGGTCCCTGGCGGTTTTTAGGCAAAACAGTCACGGACATAGCATGTCCGTGATGGGGGGCGGAAACACTGTAGCACTTTGCCTATAGGTGTTTTTAAGACTTTTCCTATATATATATATATATGGAAAAAGCTGGGAATAGCTCACTAGCTCATATGAACATATGAGCCCAACGGCCCAGATTGAATCTGGGCCGATTTGACGATCACAGATATCTAGTAGTGTTTGAATTTTACTTTTTTTTTCTACAAATCCAAATCACTTGAAATTTTAGGCGTGTGTTTATCAAAAATAGATGAATCTTCGAAAACTATCAAAAAAATATTTTACATGAAATAAAATGACCAAAATACCCCCAAAAAGTTTTCGGGGGTATTTTGGTCTTTTTGTTTTTGCGAATAATTTTTGTTTATATTTTTATTAGGTGCGTCTTGATGAGAAGAACACATACTTAAAATTTCAAGTAATTTGGATATGTAGAAAAAGAACTAAAATTCAAGCACTACCGGACAACCGTGATCATTAGATCAGCCCAGATTCAATCTGGGCTGTTGGGCTCATATGTTCATATGAGCTAGTGAGCTAATCCCCATCTTTTTTCCATATATATATATATATATAT